GTCGATAATTGGTGACATTCAGTCGTCATAGGTGCCGTGACTGCTAGTACTGGGGTGAGGGGGAAGGGCGGTGGGTCTGGTCTCACCTTAGACGAGGAATGAACTTACGGCAACTGTTTTGTCAGGCTGGCTACTAGCTCTGCCACAGGGTTACCCTTTTATGGACCCCAGCAAACTCCAGCCACCCAACCCCTGAAACTTGTCTTTGTGGCTTGTGTACTCCGTCACGTCAAACCACTCCCTGTCCGTCTATTTCTTGATGCTGTCATCCCACTTGTTTCGCTCCTCTACATTTTGCATTCTTGCCTTCGTTTGCCTCTTCAATTATGATCTTTTTGTTAATTCAAATATTTTTTTTTTTCAAGTGACTGATGCATTTCACCTGCCTATTTTTAAATTTCTATCCCAGTCTACCCAGATGCTCTGTAATTGTACGCCAGCCAATCCAATGAAATAGACCTAGATTTGACCACTCACCTTCCGCCAGAACAGCAAGCAGGACCACCGCATTGACAGTGTCGTTGTGCCAGCTGTAGAAATGGCAACCACTTGAGGAGCCTTGCACTACACGGAACCTGGGGGCGGAGAAGACGCCGAAGTTTGCGGGCGTTCTCAGACAGCGACACTCTACTAGCTGCTTCCTTGTGTAACGTTTACATGTGTCTTTCTGAAACCGCAGCATGGTGAGACCTGCCGAGACAGACCTGTGTGGTTGTACATCAACTGCTGTTGCTGTCCATATTGTACCTGTGTGGTTGTACATCAACTGCTGTTGCTGTCCCTATTGTACCTGTGTGGTTGTACATCAACTGCTGTTGCTGTCCCTATTGTACCTGTGTGGTTGTACATCAACTGCTGTTGCTATCCCTATTGTACCTGTGTACATCAACTACTGTTGCTGTCCATATTGTACCTGTGTGGTTGTACATCAACTGCTGTTGCTGTCCCTATTGTACCTGTGTGGTTGTACATCAACTGCTGTTGCTGTCCCTATTGTACCTGTGTGGTTGTACATCAACTGCTGATGCTGTCCCTATTGTACCTGTGTGGTTGTACATCAACTGCTGTTGCTGTCCATATTGTACCTGTGTGGTTGTACATCAACTGCTGTTGCTGTCCCTATTGTCATGACTAAAAATAGAACCAATCAGTTTCACAACATACAAACACAAACACAAACGAACACTCCCGCTAAAGAGCGTTTACTAACACATTACATAAATCTACATCACTACAACAAATTCGAACAAAAAACACATTCAGGTAACTGACCTATTCTTGATAGAAATCACATCTCTGTCATTATTCATGTTGTTGTTGCTTTATTTAGCTTGATCATTATATATATATATATATATATATATATATATATATATATATATATATATATATATATATATATATATATATATAGACACTGAGAGAACGAAAAAGAAACACAGATTGGGCACGCAGGTCCGTCTTACATTCGGCCCTTCCAATCACACATCTTTCACTCAGCAGTTGTATTTTATCAATGAAGCATGTTCTATTTATATAATAATATGTGTATTATGTATATCTAGCAAAAATACAAAAGCACGGGTGGTAAAATGCATGCGCACGCTCGCGCACGCACACATACACACGTAAACGCACTCACTCACTTACACACACATTTGCACCCACATACACACATACATACACACATACATACACACATACATACACACATACATACACACATACATACACACATACATACACACATACATACACACATACATACTGTAGTGAGTCATTTTCTCCTCATTAATTTATGCCCGATAGATGACGTCAGTAATAGATGTAAGACGAATGTTTTGACTGGTTGAGATAACACGAGATTTATGTCGAGTTTCATGAGAGACATCTGAAAGTCAGGTTTTATGTGAAACATGATTGTTCACAGGATCTGTGTGAAATGTGAATTATCACGGACCAGACAAGACTTTCAACAGTGGGAAATTCGTGAGAATGAATCCAGAATATTCTAGAACAGGATAGATCAGAGGGCTATATAATAGCGAAGAAAAGGTTTGTGAGCAGTCTCGTTTTGGACCCAGGAACAGTGTGCATGGACAGCGGTGGATGATGTGTGAATTCAGCAGATGTTTTTGAGTGAATTTGTTCCAGTCCAACTTGGCGAAGAAAGCTGGCCAGTAATATGTCTGCCGGTCGTCTGAGTGTATCTGTCAGGACAGCTGTTGTGTTTCGTTTACGATGTTAGTGTAAATCGATTGGGATTTCTGCTTGAAGGTAATAATTGATTCTTGCATTATAATGTGTGCCTGGACAGTTGTCAAGTTCATGTGCCGGCTGTGTAAGCCGCGAGTGGAAGATTAAAGTACTGGAACAGTATCGTGTTGTTTCCCAGTCGTCCATTTTTTCTGCTCGTCGTGTGATGTCGGTTTTGTGAGTTGGCAGCGAGCGTGCGATGAGGCGAGCCAGTAGAAGATAAAAGAGAATCATCGCACATACACACATACATACACACATACATACACACATACATACACACATACATACACACATACATACACACATACATACACACATACATACACACATACATACACACATAAACACAGACATATTGTGTGTATGAATGTGTATAGACATACACACACACACACACACACACATATATACGGGGGGGGGGAGGGGGGCTAAGTGGTCTCGAGGTATAGTGTCTGCATGGAGTGCCGGAGATCCCGGGTTCGTGATCATGTGAGGACTGGGAGTTTTTCACGTTGTCTTCTAATATTGCCCTATGGTCTCTAAGACGCCCGCGCATGTAAAAAAAAAAAAAATCCCTTGGCAGTTGGAAATCGAAAAGACTAGCTTAAAAACCGCTGCCCTGGCAAAATTTGGAGTTAAACATCTACCCAAAGTATTTCAGGATCCTCGCCGGTGCTACAAAGCTTGTGCATACTGCGTTAAGATTCTTCAGACTCAGGCTTGAATTAGAAGTAGGACGGAGCACTTATGGGTTACACCCGTGTGCCTTGATGTTGAACCGTCGAATACACATAAACATACATACATACATATACACACACATACATATACACACACATACTCACATATGTAGACATAAATACATACATACATAAATATATACATACATAAATATATACACACATACATGCATACACACATATACACACTCATACATACAGTCATACACACACTCTCACAAACACACACTCAAAGACACACACACAGCCACACACCCAGACACATAGAGACACACACAAACACACACGCGCACAAACAGACACCTACGAACACACACACAGAAGCACACAGACACAAATACACACGCAGCCATGGGCACACACACAGACACAAACACACGCAGAGACACAAGTACAGACACACAAATAGACATACACAACAAGCACAGATACAGACACACACACAGATACAGACACACGGAGAGACACAGACAGGCACAGTCACACACGCAGACAGACATACACACAGATACACAGACACACACAGATACACACATCGACATTATGAAATAGACACAGATACACAGACACCCAAAGATTCCTACAATGCCACACACAGACACACACACATACAGACACACACAGGTGACACGCACACAGACACACACAAACAGACATACACAACACACACACAGATACACGCACACGGATACAGGCACACACAGGCACACACGCAGATACACACACAGGCATACCTACAGACATGTACATGGACACACACAGACACACACCCATACGCACACACGCATACGCCTAAAAAAACTGGTAGAAACTACGTCAAGAAACATCTCTTATTCGGACATCTACGAATTCTGTTATCTAGTAAACGTTTAATTTTTAAATTCATTTACAAAATCATAACTCAGATTACTTTAAATTACATCGACAGATTGATTCAATCTAATCCTACGAGAAGCAACTATTACATTTGCCTAAACCCGGAATTAATTTATTTAAAACAAGTTTAACATATTCTGCTGCTCATTTATGGAACCATCCTAACTCGATCTGAAAACTACAAAGAGTCCCTACTCATTTAACCCCAAACTTTTTCATTTCATGATTACCAGTGATTATATGCCACCTTAAATGTCGTTAAAAATCCATATTGCATTATCAGTTTATAATTTTAAAAAATGGTGTATGATATGTATGTATGCGTGTATGTGTGACATGTATGCATATGTAGGCGTATTTGTGTATGTATGATTCTGTGAATGGGTAATTGTATAAGCTTGTGTGTATGTCTTTGTGTGTGTATGTCTAGGTGCGTGTGTCTAGGTGCGTGTGTGCATGTGTGTGAGTGTGTGTCTTTGAGAGTGTCTGTGAGTGTGTCTGTGGGTGAATCTGTGTGTGAGTCAGTATGGTGTATGTCTGTATGTGTGTTTGTGTGTGTGTCTGTGTGCATGTCTGTGTGTGTCTGTGTGTGTCTGTCTGTGTGTGTGTGTGTGTGTCAGTGTGTAAAAAGAAACAAAAAAGAGTAGGCGGGGGGAGAGAGAGACTACCCTCCGACAAGGAGCGGAACGAATACAAACACACATTCTCAGACTGACCTGGAGTCTCCTAGAGAAACGACACACACACACACAGACACGCACACATACACATACACACACACAGACACATACACACACAGACACGCACACACACAGACACGCCCACACACAGACACATACACACACAGACACGTACACACACAGACAAGCCCACACACAGATACGCACACACACAGACACACAAAGACACGCACACACACAGACACATACATACAGACAGACACGTACACACACAGACACATACACACACAGACACGTACACAGTCACACACACAACCACAAACACACACAGACACGTTCACACACAGACACGCACACACACACACGTACACACACACGCACTTTCACACACAGACACGCACACACACAGATACATACACACAGACACGTACACACAGACACATATACACACAGAGACACGTACACACACAGACACGCACACAGTCACACACACAGACACGCACACAGTCACACACACTGACACGTACACAGTCACACACACAGACACCCACACAGTAACACACACAGACACGCAAACAGTCACACACAGAGACACGCACATAGTCACACACACAGACATCTACACAGTCACACACACAGATACGTACACAGTCACACACAGACACGCACACAGTCACACACACAGACACGCACACAGTCACACACGCAGACACGCACACAGTCACACACGCAGACACACTCGCGCGCACACAGACACACACGCAGTCACACACGCAGATACGTACACAGTCACACACAGACACGCACACAGTCACACACACAGACACCCACACAGTCACACACGCAGACACGCACACAGTCACACACGCAGACACACTCGCGCGCATACAGACACACACGCAGTCACACACGCAGACACACTCGCGCGCAGACACACACAGACGTACAAACAGACACACATAGTGGGAGTCGCGTTAGCGCAGTCGATAGGAGATTCGCTATCAAATCCAGCTGAAACTCGCTGCAGCCACGGCCGGTGTTCGAAACCGGGCGGTTCCTGAGGTTTACCCAGCCTCTAGGAAATGGGTATTAGAGTTGACACTCTGGGGTAAATGGAGGAACGTCGCTGTAGCTA